CCCCCTCAGCCCCCGGCCCAGCTCCATCCGTGGGGAGGCACAGGGCCATCGCCACCGCCACGGACACCCCACAGCCCCCCAGCAGCTCCGGAACGGGCACGCCAATGCTCTCGCGGCATCCTCAGCCGTACCTGCCTGACCTCTCTCTGGGATGCTTTTGGGACTTTGGTCTGCTGCACAACAGCAGCCAGACAGTCCCCTTCCAGATGGACTGATGGACAGACGTACGGCCTTCCTGGCTGGAGGACACCTACAGCAGAGGTGTCCTCCAGCAGGGACCCTGGGTGGCACATGTCCCCCATCCACCTGATGGCAGGCAGAGGATCTTGGCTAAGACACTCACTTGTCCCGCCAGTAATGGTAGCCGTGGTGCCCCACGATGTCCTCCACCGCTGCCAGGATGTGGTCAAAGGCCTTGAGCAAGGAGAAGACAGTGAGAGCGGTGTCAAGGCTGTGGGTGCCTCGGGAGTGCCGAGGCGGTGCATCGCCCTCGCCCAGCCCCGGCACCAGCACCTACGTGCTCATGCAGCTCCTCGTTCAGCGTGGGCTTGTGGTGGTCGCTGCGCTTCACCTTCAGCCACGTCACCAAAGGTTTGATGGTGAGGCCCTGGAAATGGCAGGAGAAGGCAAGGGAAAGACTGGGAGGGCAAGAAGGTGCGTGGCTGGGGCATGGGGAGCAGAAGCAGCATGAAGTGACCGAGGACAGCAGCTGTGCTGGCCACGCACGCCCCTACCAACCCACCCCACTGCGCCCAGGACCTGGGCGATGGTCCTGTGTCCTGGTAGGCAGCAACCATCTCATATCCCGTCCTCCTTCCCCTGGGCTCCCATCCAACCGCCATGCAGCTCCCCTTCCCGGGGCAGAGGAACCCCGGAGCTGTGAGTCATCAGCAGCTTTTAAGCAAAACAGCTCCTGCCATTGCTGCCCTTGAAGCCAGTCCCAGAACAAGAAACCAACAGGGAAACAACGTGGGCCACGGCCTCGCCATCGCAACAGCTGCCGCTGCGGTCCATTATACCAACCTGGTGGTGCCAGCCTGCACCAAGGACCAAAGGTGACTTGAAAAGAGGCACTTGCCCCAAGCACATGTCCCCAAGCACCAATCTGGCCCCCCAGGCGAGCTCTGGGCAAGAGGACAGCACTGGAGGAGGGCACGGTGCCCATCCTCACCTGCACAATGACAGTGAAGAACACCACCACGATGGTCGTTGCCACAAAGTAGTCCTTGGCTTTCACCTTCGCCCTGTCCAGCAGGATGACCAGGGCAAAGGCCACAGCTCCGCGGAGGCCACCGTATGACATGACCACCTGGTCAATCCTGTCCAGGGGGATGAGGCGGAAGCGGTTGAGCACACAGGTCTGGAGGACAACACCTAGGGAAGAAGGAGAAGGAGAGCCTGGGATGCCAGCAGAGCCCTGCCTGCTCCTGGAGATGGGGAAAAACCCCAACCAGGAGCTGTGGCTGGCCTCATGCCCCAGCCTTTCTTGGGGGATACCAGTTTTGGGCATGAAAAGGACTGGGTGCTACCGGCCAGAAGCACAATGGGACAGACTGACCCACAGCTCTGAAGAGCAGGATAAAGAACAGGGTGCCCAGCACCAGCGCTGTGTCCCATGCCCACTTGGAGGTGTCCACAGCTGAGATGCCCAGAAACATGAAGATGATGGTCTCTGAACTGCTGGCCAGGGTCTTCATGGTGT